GGAGCTCCCATCCAGAGAAGCACTGAGACTGGCATGGCAGTGGAGCTAAGAAGCAACATGAGCCGGCAGCCCAGCAGGGAGTCCAACAACGGCAGCATGAACAGCTGTAACTCTGAGGGGAAGTGAGTCAACCATTTAATTCCCTCCTTTTATATACCTGCCCTCTTTATAGAGGACTAGCGGTAATGATACAGCATCAAGACCTCTGTTTGCATTTCTTTTATACCTGTGTTTTTGGGCTGCGGTGTAAACATTTGTTTTATTTTGACCTGTTTCAGATGAGATATTCCTCTCTGGTAGAGCTAGTGTAGGTTGAAATTAACGAAACCTAATGCTACATGACAACACGACATGGTTTGAACAGTAACGTTTGCTTGCTAACATCTTCTGAGGGAGCGTACATTTGACGTCCTGCATGTGTCAGCTGACTGACAGTAAACAGAGTGTATTATAATGATCACACTGTGGAAAAAAAACTGAGCTCAGCGAGGCATTGATAAAACACAAGCCTCTGAGTCAAAGTCAAGCCTGGTGTTAGCTGTGATGGATTATCACACTGGGGTAATTTTTTAAAATTTCCCTTTTTTTTATGCTGTACATCGTGACTTACAGCTTACTGGCTCCTGTAAAGACGGGAAAATGAGCTCTGAAGTCTGTAATCATGTTCGTGTTTGTCATTAATTTTCTGTGTCACTGGTAGTTTTTGTGGTTAATAATCCATGTTTATGTGTTTTCTGTCTTAGTTTGATCTTCTCTGGAGTCAATCTGGGTGCCAGCAGTCAGTTCAGTGACTTCCTGGACGGCCTTGGACCTGCTCAGCTGGTGGGAAGACAAACACTGGCGACTCCTGCTATAGGTAAACTCTGATGATGACTGTCTTCTAATCACTCTCAGGTTCAACCCATTTGTTTGGACTTTGATTTTATTTCATCGATATTGATCATCATTATTATTTTCCTTTTTTATATATCCGAAATTTTAAAAATGTCATTAAACTTCTCACAGAAGCATATTGCATTGACCTGAGGGGGAAAAAAGGAAATAATGCTGATTTACAAGGAGAGTTGATAAGAGAGTTGATTGCACTCAGTTGCACTTCATGGGTTTTAACCACTTTTAGCATTTGTCTGTTAAGTCACCAAATTGCTGGCCTGAATTAATTTCAGAGGCATATTAACATCCATGCTGTATCAAACAGAGTCACTGCTTTCTCTTTTTCGAGCGGGTCAGAATGAACTGCTCACATACTGAGCCTGAATGGTCTGACTCTTAATTAAGATTCAAAACAATATTTTTGGCTGAAGTAGACAGAAGAAGGGGGTGTATTCAGTGGCTCAATGGTTGAGCTCACTCCTGCCCAGTTTGTTAACTCCCATTCGTAATAATAACTTGAATTGATATAAAGTTCATAGAGTTATGGTACATGGTGGCACAAGCACAACACTTCATCATTACATATTTCATCTCTATCTCAAATCCACCACACATAAACTTACACCAACAGCAGGTTTGAGTCTCTTAGAAATAGCTGGTGGTGGAGTTTAGCCAATCAGCAGGGACTAACAGCCCTACATACATTGGTATGCTTTAAAAAGCTGTAAGCAGAACATATTTCTCTTTGAGTTAAGAGATAGTATCCCTTGTCTTGTTTTTTTATTAACTGATATTTTTCTTGGGCTGAGTTGCAGTCATGACTAGGAATCCTTGTGCCTTACATTTTCTGCCTTTTTTTCAACACCCAGCTGTCAGCACCTTCAGCTCTACAGCATGGACACTCAATATTCTCCTCCTGATGTATTAAACCAATCATCTGTTCACTTCTCTCCATGTTTCCCAGGTGACATCCAGATTGGTATGATGGAGAAGAAGGGTCAGCTGGAGGTGGAAGTCATCAGAGCTCGAGGACTTGTACAAAAGCCAGGATCCAAATCCCTCCCTGGTGAGAGCCTGATGGCCCTTTAGAAACCAAAGAGACACTAATCTCCTTTTCCCTCTGAAGACATCATTCAAAGCTCTTCACAATACTCCAAGATCTAATAGAGATTATAATGCTGAGTTGCTGTGATCCGCTTTAATATGTTCTCTACTGTTCTGCCTCTTTCTTCAGCTCCATATGTTAAAGTCTACCTGCTGAATAATGGAGCGTACGTAGCCAAAAAGAAAACCAAGATTGCACGGAAAACACTTGACCCATTGTACCAGCAAGCACTGCTATTTGAAGAAAGCCCACAGGGTAAAGTCTTACAGGTGAGCTGGAGATGTTTCTCTTTATCACATATATGACTAATGTTTTCCTCTTTCTTTCATCGTTGAAGTGACCACGTCTCTAAGAGCTCGATACACTGAAATTTCAGAAAACACTCAGAAATTGGCTAAAGCTTGTGATTAAATCTCAAATGACTCATTTGAATATGACAATGGGTCTAAATGTTTTCATGTTCTCATATTATCCTATGTTATACTATCTCTACTCGATCATTTTTGAAGCTTGAAATGATTTTTTAAATCATGAACAGATAATGCTGATATTTTTGTGTTGTCTGCACCATCTAGAAACACTCTGAAACTGAACAGTTTAAAGACTGAGGCTCAACCAAATATTGACTAGAGATTTTCAAAGTGTCTAATTCTTTTGATGTTTGAGCAAAATGGATTTACTTGATGAGTTTTAATGACAATTATTTTCCAAATTGCTCATATTTTCTTTATTTCTACTGTGTTAAGCTTTGAAAGTCAAAGTGGACCATAAACAAATGAAATGTGTTTATTGAATGTGGAATAAATTAGCTGTAATTTGACCAGAAATATTCTCCTTCCAGGTGATTGTTTGGGGCGACTATGGACGAATGGACCATAAAAGCTTCATGGGGGTTGCACAAATCCTATTGGAGGAACTGGACTTATCAAGCACAGTCATTGGTTGGTACAAACTATTCCCACCCTCCTCCTTGGTGGATCCGACACTTGCCTCCCTGACTCGGCGGGCTTCCCAATCGTCACTTGACAGTTCCTCCGGACCTCCAGGTGTCCGATCCTAGTGGACCAACTGCTTTATGACGAGCTAAACTAACTATGAAATGTACTCTAGAGAGAAAGAAACACAAAAAGACAGCAGAGTTGTAGAACAACAATCAGAAAAAGTCACAATGAGAAAGCTTTGTGAGATCTGACAATCACTTCTGTCGTGGTTAATTTTGTCTGTTGTAGAGAGCGCCATATTTCAGTGTTTCATATCCATTTAAAGAAAAAGTCTCATAGTTTTTCTCTATATATGCTGAAGAAGTAGAGTGAGTGGGCAGGGCTCTCGAGATGGGAGATGAAAAAGTGTCAGAGAATCAAACAAAGCAGGGTGGTTTTCCACTAATTCAACAATAGCAAAGAAATGTACGTAAGCATCGGAATGTATGGACTCAAGACAGAGGTTATCACCCTCCACACCTGTAGGGGGCGCTGTCCTCACTGCAGTGGCCTCCTCCTCCAGAACCCAACAGACTGCCGGCACTCCTGCCCCCCAAGCAGGGTGCTCCCATGTGGGGATAAAGTCTGGAAGCACAGGGCCTTCTTCTGGTGCCTAGACCTTGGAGCCGCATTACTGGTCCCTCTCTGTCAAAAAAATCCTCTTTTCAATATGTTTACCATGGCTGCTCGAGGCCTCACTGTTTTAGCGTGTTTGCTTTGTCGTTCATTTTCTTTCCCTTCGTTAATACTGGCACAAAATGTTTCTAAAGTGCGTAAAATGCTCATGATAATGTTGTCAGTCTGGTGTGTGCATGGAGAGAAAAAAACACGTGATAAAAAAGGATATAAATCTATTAAATGTCTGCAAGTGTTATGCAGGGGGAGGGCGGGTAATGGGGGAGGGGCTGATAATGAAGACACATCTTAGATTTTTACACTGACAGTGAGATTAGCGTGCAGAGTTGTTTTCCTTGTTCCACTGCTGGCAAATGTCGGGGCCAGATGTCTTTGTATAGATGTATATTAGACCTCCGAGAAGGTTGACCAATAAATGAAATTTATGTCACTTTGAGATTTCACAACAGTTAACATTGCTGTAAAAAAAAAAGAAGTCTTTGTTCATTCATGCAAGAGAAAGATGGGAGCATCAAATTTTTTCACCCCAGCACGTTTCAGGTTTCTATCAAGCCCTTAGTTTACATTTTTTTGAACTTTAAAACACAAGCACAAGAGCTTGATTTTTTTACGACAAAAAGTTTAACTTTTTGAAAAAAACACCAAGTCAAAAAAAAAAAAAAAAAAAACAAGAAAGAAAAAAAGCAGCAATCCCGTCACTGGTTCTGTTCATTTCTTTGTCTAGATGTTAGGAAACAAAAGAAAAACTAAGACTCGCTCACAGTTTCCAATGTGCATCTCTGTGAATGTGAAAGTGACCAACCAGACTGATCTGTCGGGACACCAACACCACTGCTCATCCTCTGTTCGGCCCGCAGACTCCGCCCACACGAAAAGGGGGCGGGGCCAGCATGACTTTGGAATCCTGTTCAAAGCTGCATGCACATTTTTGTAAAACAAAACAGCTACAGAAAAAAGATACTGATCTAGATATGTGTGTTAGTTCCACATACTGTAGGGCCGCTTGTATGTTGCATGCAGTTGTACAGTTTGCTCGTACTTGAATATTAAAGAGATAAAACCAAGAAACCGAAGCCATTCCCATTACGCAAAGACAGATAAACTCAACTGCAGTCTACTCCGCGTCCCTCAGTCCGGTGCTGAATTTCCCTCAAACTAAACCCCAGATAATGTTGATGTCTTTCCTCGACCCTCTGGAAGATGTACTGTACTGTACAGTAGTACTGAGCAGACCTCACAGCCCCCCTTATTGTTATTCCACCTCATAGTATACCTCCAAGGGGCTGAGACATTGTATGAATAAATATGTACAAACCAGATCCACTTCTATAGAAATATGAATTATGTTTCAACATAATGATTTCAGCTATAAAAACAAATGAACTGTTAAGTTATATAAAGAATAAATGCAGATGCACAGAGTCATAAACTGTAAATACTCAACAGCCATTCACTGGGTTTTCAGTGGGTTCAGTGATATTTGCGAAGAGGCAAAGACACATAATGAGGAGCAGTTAACATGTAAAGGGACCATGCAGTGGGACAACACAAGGCGATGGACCTGGGTCACACACCAGTCGTGCTTTAACACACGGCTGCAAAATCTACTACAGGTGTTCCACTGCGCAAAAAAGCTGTCGTCTGAACACTTCTTTGTGCTTCAAACCCAACATCTCAACGTCAGTGCCGACTCAGAGGAGCTGACTTTTCTTTTCATCGTCTAGTAAAGCTGGTTTTCCTTTGATTTTCTTTGTCAGTATTAACAGGAAAAAAACTGCTGATTGTTTACAACTTCTGTGTTCCACCGAAACAAAAAGAAAATCTGAAAAAAGTAAAGCATTCACTGCAACATTTCTTGTTTGTATAACAGATGTGGCTCAAATGATGTGTATGTTTTATATTTAAAAAAGTTCATTTTTATTATTTACAAATAAAAAGAATGTGTGGAAGAAACTGTGTTTCCTACATTTCTTATTCCCTTAAAGCTATGTTTGAAACAGGAAACACTTTGTTCTTGTACGTATTTGTCTGCTTTTCATTTTGTATATTATATCAGCTTTGATTTATGTAACACCTTCCGTGTTGTCAGGCTTGATATTGGAGGCTCTTACAACCCACTCTTACTCCACACTTAAAGGTTCTGGACGGCACTTAATGTGGCTGACCTATGTGAACATGCAAACAGAAGGGATGTGTGCAGCGAGAGGGTATTGGGGGCGTTTTTCGCGAAGGCCCTTGCTCTTCAAAGTTTACAAATCAAGAGAAAATCAAGTTTGAAATCCCTCTCAGAAACTTGAAGCAACTTCAGACACTTCAATCTCAGAGTACAATATGGTGCTAGTCAATACCTTGGAGTTGATGGTGCCCAGGAAAGTTAGTCCAGGAAAACGTCTAATCCCAACATATTTTGCCCACAGAGATCCTTGGATAACTTCAAATGTACAAAGGCCATATGAACTTGCTTAAGTTGTCTGTGATCCATCATGTAGGAGCATGGACTGAGATCCTTCTTTATTCTAGGGTGTGGGCCAAGGTGGAGCCGCCACGGGTGCAGATCTTGGTAGTAGTTGCAAATATTTGAAAAAGAACTTTGAAGGCCGAAGTGGAGATGGGTTCCCTGTGAACAGCAGTTGAACATGGGTCAGTAGGTCCTAAGAGATGGGTGAACGCTGTTCGGAAGGGCAGGGCGATGGCCGACGTCGCCCCCGGCCGATCAAAAGGGACTCAGGTTCACATCTCCAAAACTGAAGTGGTGGAGACACTGCGAAGAGTGCGGTATTGCAATGTGAAGGGCGCCCTGGAATGGGTTCACCCCTAGAGAGGGGCCCGTGCTCTAGGCTTCCGGCGGCCTTCCTACTCGTCACGGCCTAGCCCACGTGGCTCCCGTTGCCAGCAACGGCCGTATGGAGATTGTAATTTTACTAGCACAAGTTACTGTGACTGCTTTGCTCCAGAGAGGGAGGTTGGTTACAAGCAGAAGAAACAGTGTTACAAAAAGATGGACAGTAAACCATTAATGTTGCTCCCGTGATTTAAACCAAACTTAGGTCCGTCCACATGCTGGAGTCTTTTCTATTTATGAAGCTTAACCATCATGTCTTACTTAAGAGCTTCATTTGGGGTTATGACGTGTTTTGATTTAGTCTTTGTGGCACATGTTCTGTGAGGATTCAAAAGCTCAGCTCTGTGTCTGAAATGCTGCCACAGAGCGCCTCTCTAAAGAGGAAGTTGAACCATAATGGCCTCATGTGTGACCTCATTCATGATACAGTGCAGCAGAGGGCTTTGGAGATTTATATTCCACATCCTTTTGTCAAAGAAGTTGAGGGCCCCCTGAAAAAACATCTGCAAGCAATCTGCACTGACCCCCACCCCATCCTCCCCACCAACCAGGCCTAAAGTGCCAGCCAGGCCCCCGGGTACTCTTGTCACAGCATTGAGGGTCACGACCTCCATGTTACAAAGCGTGGATACTGATCGTGGTGGAAAGAGGAACCACAGATCACACAAGTCACAGGTCAAGATGAAGTTTCCATGCTGCTCCCAGGAAATGGATTAATCCATCTAATCAGGTCAAAGGTTCAACATCGGCAGAAACAGCAACCATGACCATAAGAGTAATAAAAACATAAAGTTCATATTTAATGTCATCCATTAAGATGACCGTCAGTTAAGCTCAAAGAAAAAAAACGGAAAACATTAGGGAAAAGAATTACTTGAGCCAACTTTTTTGTCCTGATGCGTACAATTGGAGACCAAACAATATTAGACCTGAGGCTGTATTACAAAAGTCTATGTTTAAAAATCAGGGAAACAAAGACAGAAATCATCATACAGCAAAAAGAAAAGAATGGAAGTAATGGTATAAGAGAGATTTTGGAGTGTTGCGAACAAAAAACGAAACACAAAATCCTTTGTGTTTTAATTCACGCCTCAGCGATAACATAACCAGTGTTTTATAATCATCTACATTCATCTGAGGTCTCTTTTCCCATTTTCTCACCAATATCATCTGTATCATGAATATTACAACCCTGGCTCAGGGGAAGGAACAGAGAGGAGTCAAAAAGGCCAATCAGCTGATAGATGGAAAATTTATTGTATCAACCAACAAATGCCATGCTGATCCTGGCAGCAGAGTAAGAGAGGGGGTAAGAGGAGCCACACAGGCACTCAAAGAGAAGCCCTCAGGTGCAGTTATCAGGGGCGGAGATGGTCTAAAGGTCAAGGGTTGCCTTTGAGAGAGAGAAAAACAGTTGGCTCTGAACACAAAGTTGTTACATTTTACAGAAATAAATGATAAGTTTTAGGTCAGATAAAAAAACAGATGAATGAAAGGTTGCTAGATTACTCACGGCCTTGGAGGAGCATTAGCAATAAAGTTGCTCTTTCCTTGAATATGCAGGGTGTCAAGGTTAAATCCCTGCAGAAACAGACTCCACTTCACCAAGTGATGGTTTGAGTTTTCATCCTGTTGAGAAGGACCAAGAGGGTCATGGTCTGTGTAGACCGCTACCCACTAGATGCTCTCTTCAAAAGTCTACTTTACCTCTTCTGACAGCGGCAATGGACGAGACTGTGCTGCCACCACATTGGTGTTGTGCCATAATAGTAGAGGGAAATGACAACACCCCAAGTGCTGTAATCATGCTGAAATACAGAGTTTTTCTGAATAACACTGTTGGACTCCGATGACAATGGCCGGTGGTGGTATGGAAATTGGGCTGAGGTGTCCACTTGTACTTAAATATACAACAACAGAACCCTGCAATAGTGATTGAGCTTCAGTTTTATAGAGACACGAATAAAAAAGGTTGCACTACAACAATTATTTGCACTTGCATGAACACTCCCACAAACACTCTAAGGTTGCAAAGGCTGATTTTCAGTGGCTGCAATTTTGAGCTCCAGCAAGGGAACATTTTGATCTAAGAGTTAAGTGCTAGGTGTTGCCAAAATATTCTTATTTTTGCACATTGCCAGTGAACACATTTACTCCTTCGACATGCTCAATGTGATGAACCCTTAGGCAAAACCTTAAGCCTTTCTCGTAGCACAACTTAATATGTAAATTGAGGACCCTATTTTTCATGTAAACAAAAAATTTTTTCTGAAAGATAAAATCCAAAACTGCTCCTGTTTAGATTCAGAAAACGGTCCATTATTAAAGAGTGATTAATATGTATGTCCTATCAATGTGTATGAATTCTTCTTTACAGTAAATGACAAAGACTTCTCCCTTTATTGTATTGAAACTGCCTTCAACACCAAGAAAACCAAGAAATGATAACAACAACAATGATAATAATAATAATAATGATAATTAAATACGGCTTTAGTTCTGACAGCAGCAACTTGTTCAACCAACAGCCAATAAAACCTGAATGTTGTCACAGTGATGGGGCCCACTAGTTTCTGAAGAGGCGTCATGAAGCCCAATTGAAATGCTGACCCCAGCTGATCGAACAATGGGCAGAGAGGAGTTAGAGGGGGTAGAGTGCACCCCACTCCAATTCTACAGTTAACTTCCTGAGGCCAAATTGCTTTTGGCACTGGGCTGTAAACATCCTCAACCATGGCTGTCAAATGTGATCAGATCTAACAAAGCTCCCATAATGACCCAGCTCTCCCCAGGTGAGGGAGATGAAGCCGTGTGCTAAGTGAGAGAAAAAATAGAGGGGGAGACATTTTAAATGTATACGTTCGATCTTAATCACCAATATTTCATGTGGTTTCTGTTGCTCAGACAGTACTCTTGTGAAAAATATGTGTTTTTTTTGTAGGAAGCTGCCAGAATGAGAGGTCGGAGCAAACATGCATTTGAATCCTATAAATGTGTTTGCAAAGATGATCTTTTCCCGGAGTCACCAGTAGATGGCGTAGTTTTGTTGAGAGAAAGACAGATTTGCACAGTCGCCGCTCAGGCTCTCTGCAAGAAGCACACACACACACACACACACACACACCAGCGCTTCTTGTTTCACACTCTGAGACTTCACGACAGGGCGCTGACTAGCAGCTACTTATTTTTTCTGATGCACTTGAGTTTTTCTCTTAAGTGCTGCACTGACATGCTGCATGCTGTCAGGCTGAAGTGAGGAAGCTTTGGTTACTTTCTATGAAGTGCGTGACTGCAGGGGTTTCTTAGAGAGATCGCGTCAGACGAGGAAGTCCGTACTCAGACGTCGCTTTAGAGGCAGCATTTTTTCCCCGAATTACCGATCTTACCTCATGCAATGTCCACACAGAGAGAACTTTGTTTTCCTCACATTCAACTCTGAAAAAAATGATGCAGGTCAAATGATTTCATACATGAACATCTAAGCAGAAATACAGAGAGACTGAGTAAATAAATGAGTGTAAGAGATGAGTTATTGCCACGTGGTTCAAGTGACAGCAGGCTGCAAATGAAATACCTTCTGAGGAATCACATGATGGTTTCTTTCATGCATATGTGATCAAGCGTAACCACTGGAACCTTTAATAGACTAAAAATCATATTTACAGAACACACATAACTCAATTTAAGAAAGGTCTCTGAATTAGAGGTAATTTTGGTTACAGTATGATATTTTCTGCAGATGTTCAGAGAGCCGTCCGCAGTGGTTTACTTTTCCAGCCGACCAAGTGGAAAATTCATCTGAACCCATGTTACCTGATAGGCTTTTCGCAGACTTGTTGTAATTTGGAACTTTTTCGGGAAATTAAATTACATTACAGAAGA